TTAACCTGCACTGACATCGCAAAGTACACGGGCCTTTACCATTCAGCCTCCATCAAAATGCGACCACCGCGGCCGGGATCGAAACTGCGACCTTTGTGTCAGAAGCTGAGCACCATATAGTCACTTTCCTGCCGTGACGGACTACCCTCTCGGTATCCATTCTTCAACGGGCTAGAATAAAACGTTTGGTGTCAACGTTGGAGTTCAACTGCGAACTATCCAGAGAGCCGATGATGCGTTGATCATGGCTTAGTCCGACTGTCCCAATGGTCCACTACGCGTTAAATCGTGCACCTCAGGACTAACAATGAAGTCTCGCATCCATTCATTCATTGCGGGCTGCCTGTAGGTCTAGTGGCTAAGGCACTCGGCTGCTGACCCGCCGGTCACAGGATCTAATCCCGGTTGCGGCGGCTGCATTTCCGATGGAGGCGGAAATGTTGTAGGTCCGTGTGCTCAGGTTTGGGTGCACGTTAAAGAACCCCGAGTAGTCGTAATTTCCGGAGCCGTCCACTACGGCGTCTCTCATGATCATATGGTGGTTTTGGGACGTTAAACCCCACATATCAATCAAAACACCCGCGCGTTGCTAAATTGACATGTTCAATGAAATCTCGTAGCTTGTAGAACGCGTGCTTACCACCCAGGTCACTAGTAAACTCCCACTAGAGGTAGTAATCGTGGAGCCAAACTATGACAGTGAAATAGCTATAAGGATTGGATCGGGTCCATTCGGCAAGCATTCTCAGATCATGAATGGTATTCTAACACTATCCCTCATGAGGAACATGGACCAGCTGCACCATCGCTGCATCTTATAACAGTGTGCTTACATACGGAGCTGAAATCTGGAGGCTTACAAAGTGTATCTTAAACTGAGGACAACGCAGTGAGCGATGCAAAATAAGGTAATGGGTGCAGCTTTAAGAAATAGGGAAAGAGCACAGTGCGTCAGGAAAAAAAATGGGCAGTAAGGATATCGTAGTTGAAATCGAGAAGAATTGGGCATGGGCGATGCACGTAAGCAGGTTAACCACTGGTAATCAAGAGTTACTGACTAGATTCAAAAATGCATGAGAAGAAGACACAGAATTAGGTGGACACAGGACCGAGTTAATGGCAGAACATGGGAGAGGCCTTTGCCTTGCAGTGGACGTAGTCAAGCTGATCATGATCATGATGACCATAGGATGATGAAATATTGATAATGGCCATTCCTATGGTCATCATCAATATTTCGCCTTTGCCATCTCGTCCACCACAAGAACAGGCGAGCTGCCTCAGCCAAATTATATAACAAATGTTTGTGAAGACGCCTTCCTTGTGGATGCCGCTGGACCCTTGCACAACCTCGCCACGGCAGCCGTACTTAGCAAACAGGTACAGGTCGTGGATTGCACCTAGGCTACTGAAATACACATCGCAGCCATATCCAAAAAGCCACATTTAACCTCATGGACTCCCTGCCAGCGCGGTCTTGCCAGATCTCAAGTCGGCCGCTTAGCGCATTCCATACTGCAACAAGCTGCGGCTACAACTCAAGGGGGTCAGTGGACACGACTGACATGGGTATGAGGCACTTAGGAGTTCGAGGCAATGAGCTCGCTCATGCCTCTACTCGTGATATCTTCCACCAGGCCTCTGCTACGTCATCCACAGCGCAACTTTTTCATTACCAGGACGACCCCCAGCCCCTGCTTTTCTATATTGATATCCTGCAACACATTGTGCTGAGAGACGCACTCTACCCCTGCCTGATCCTAAAGTAGATAAGGCAATGCAGGTTGCCTGGCGACAATCGCAATCATCGTCCTTTCCAATTCTTTATGTATTGCCCAAGACAGATGCTTCGGTGTGCAATCCGCAGAGTAAATTCCGTACAGCCCCAGTATATCGGACAACTATAATTCTACAATATAGTGTGGGAGGCGACGCTGTCGAGCTCTGACCCAGCGCAGCAACAAGATCTTCCTTACCAAGCCTGAGGAGAGAGAGAGAGAAAGAAACTTTATTTTCGACCAGGTGTGCGTTCTCTTCACCCAGAGGAGGGTGACTTCTTCATTCCAGGTAACCATGGCTAGCCGCCGACGCCCGAGCCCTTTCAACTAACCGGCGCTGGTCCTCAGGACACACACACACACACACACACACACCACACACACACACACACACACACACACACACACACACACACACACACACGCACGCGCACGCACGCGCACGCGCACGCGCACGCACGCGCACGCGCACACGCACGCACGCACGCACACACGCACACACGCACACACACACACAGAGAGAGGGGGGAGGGAGGGGGAAAGGCTGGAATGGTGGAAAGAGCCAATGTTTTATCGAACTAGGAGGTTCACTTCACCCACTAGCGACTTATTTGCTAGCAATAAATGTTTTATTCTTTCTTTTTCACTCGGAACCGGTAATTTTAAGGACGAAGCTTGTAATGGTCGAGGCTTGTCCGTAGGCGCTGTCGTTGGGCGCCGTAGCCTTAGCTAGTGACGACGACACTGACGACGATGAAGAACAAGCGCGCTCTACGCCCCAATCTTTTCTCTGCCATCAAGACACAGTACATGCAAAGTACCCACTATATACGGCGTGACGATTATGACAATGATGATCATGGACAATGACCGGCTTGTGCAATAGATGAAGCCTCAATATGATCCATGACGCATTTCGTATCATTGGAAGCAACCACCAACCACCAGGTGAACATGCCAAGACGTCGTCCTTGCCAACTTGCAGCTATAGATCCGATACCACAAACCAGTAATAATGAACGCAAAACGAAATTCACAACTAAAAACAACATGTAGCGTTTATGGGACATAAACATTGTACATAACCGTACACCACTTTGCCAATCATTTACATGCGTAATTGGTCAGCGTCACGGGTGATTTACGGTCACACCGAACGATACCGCTGCTTCGACCACTCATCGCCATTCGCTTCGCAGATGAGCCATCGTTTTTTTAATATTTATTCTTATTTACACCTTCCTCAATTTTCCGCTCACCGACAAGATTATGTTTTGCTCACAACCAATTACTTCAACGTCGGAATTTCTGCGAAGCTAGCTCTTTAACGCTATCGCGTTAAAACTGGGACCATACGTTTCGGCTTCGTTGGTTCACCGTTTGTTTTGGAAGTCCTTGGCTTTACTAAGGTGCACGGAAGCGTTGTGAAAATTCATCCTCGGCGTTTGCGGCATCAGCATGGGTGAGAGAAAGGTAAACGCATTTTTTTTTTTTTTTTTTTTGCAGATTGCTGGGCTGGGCTCCCACCTATAGGAGCTAACAGAGAGACCGTGTCTCCCGGCGGCTTACTTTGATGGGTGACGCAAAAATAAGTAATAATAAATTGTTGGTGCCACCATGTGAAGTCATCATCACGTCAATGATAGACAAAACACGTGAGGTTGTGCGCATGACGACGTCATGGCCTGATGTCACTTGGTCAAACTGCATAAACCTTCCTAAAATAACTATAGAGGACTCATCTCGCTGTGAATGTTCAGTGACCATGGGACGAGTGATTGGCAGTACGGAAATTTGCCTAGTCATCGTACTCGTGCATTTCGAACGCACTTGTGCATTTGTTTATTGTTGTGTTCTGGTTTTGTTTCGAATAATAAAACGAATTTTTTAACTGGTGAGCCTAAAAGGTTAAAGGGGCCGTGAGCTGCAACTGCTGAACATTTGAGGGTTGTCGTTTCATGACAAAGCAGCTTCAGGCCATGCTATAAGTCAAATGAAGTCGAAAGTATGAAGATTAGACAATCAGTGTACAACCAATTATTCCCATGCTCAATGAAGCGCCGTGCGTTGCAGCTCCCATAGACACTAGCACAGTTTCCTCTAGTGAATTTATAGGAAACTGTAGTGCACTTATATGGCCCAGGCTCGGTAGAAAAGTTTCCTATGCCTCCGATCTCAGATGCAGTCCAAGACCAAGTTGGATAGGTGATCACTCCAATCGAATAAGAAGAAAAAGAAGACGATGGTTTTCACCATAGAGCCGTTTTAGGCGAATACATAAAGGAACCTGTGAATTTTTTTTATTGACCGCAAGCATTACCATGCTGACATCATCATCTCTTGCAGAAATTTCAATGGGTAAACTCTAATCCAACCAGGTTTGCATCAAACAACAACTTTTTACTTCCACATACACGCACTAACATACACGGTAAACATGCTACCATATTTCCCGATATTCAATGTTGGAACTCAATACCACTGTGCACTAAACCATTGCCATTCAACACTTTTAAAAAAGAACTTAATCATCTCATTTCGCAATCATAACTAATTTGTATATTTATATTGATGTTCTCTTACATCTATGGCTAGTTATTTTTATATTTATTACCCATGTAGATTTGAGTTGTCTGTTTAGCTATGTATCAATAGTTAAGGTCACTTTTGTACAAGATTCTACTGCCATTTTTGTGTTTGAGTTTTTTTTTCATAGCCATGTAGAATTACTGAACTGTAGTTTTGTTGCCATTTTCACTGGAATTTATATGACATGTTTGCGTTGTTTTTATTCCTGTGAAAATTACTTGCCGCTTTTAGTGGCCATTTTGTTGTACTTATCAACATGTATACTTCTCACAGGATGGCCGCTTTTAGTGGCCATTTTGTTGCACTTATCAACATGTATACTTCTCATAGGATGTCCCTTTCAGCCTAGTGCTATGGGACCTCCATCTGTCTATACTAACACCAACGCGTTTATGTATTTTGCAACGAATGATGCTTTTGATTGATTCATTGATTCATTGATTGATTGATTGGTTGATTGATCGTCACCGTTTCGACGTCACAAGCTGTCGCGCGCCGTTACACGAGTGCGAAGCGCGCGATCTCAGCGCAGAAGAAGAAGAAGAAGAAGAAACCGCACGAGCGTAGGCTGAGCGCGCTTCGCTTCGTATGCGATCGCCGCCGAGCCCTCTGTTATACTCATCCCGGAAGAAGATGGCCGTGAACGTGGTGGCCATGATGCTGGTGATCATCTACTACTGCGCCGTGGTGACGCTGGGCGTGTGGTCGAGCCGCAGGTTGGGCTCGGACAGCAGCGCGCAGATGTCGCGGCTCAGCGTCGAGTCGCGCCGGAAGCAGGACGCGGCCCACTTCCTCATGAAGCTGTTCATAGCCAACCGCCACCTGCCACTCGTGCTGGGCGTCGGCTCCATGACCGGTGAGTGCGCGCCGCATCGTAGCTATAGCCTGCGAGATGCGGTGATGCGGAGTCGTACCAATCGAAGAGCCAACCTTAGCGAGGAGGAGGAAGAGGAAACAGGAGCACATTCGCGTAAACACTGCTGTTCACACCTCATCTCGAAAGTATTACTGATCACTCTAGTGTAAACCAAATAGGACTTAAAACAGTATCTAGCTGTCACAACGCACTGCTGGCAAAGGTGGAATTACGGTTTGACCCTGGTCTGTCTCGCAAACGTGATCTTTCCGAATGGTGCCCGCTCATAAAGAGGTTTTACTATTCGCAGTGTCTATCCTCCCGGCAACCGGGATAATTGATCAAAACAACTTCCCCCGGCAGTCGCCTCCCATTGGCTCTCATAAGTCACGTGACTTACAGCCGTGGGGAGAAGAGAAAAAACTGGCTGCTGCGGGACAGACTGGGCATATGTAGCCTAGCGTGCGTTGGATTAGGTTAGGTTAGGTGGCGAGACAGACTGGACAAACGTGGCTCAGCGTGTGTTGGGTTAGGTTAGGTTACGTTAGGTTATGCTGAATAGGTTAGCCCAAGTTCTACCGGTTGCTGGGAGAATCATACAAAAAATTTATCCCGACTGTTAGTCGCGTGTCTCATGAGAGCCAATGGGAGGCGACTACCGGGAGAAATTGTTCTTAAGAATTATCCCGGTAGCCGGGAGAACAGTCACACCCTTTATTATTTTAATGCAAATGCTGGATTACTTACACCGCAAGAAATCAGTGTTCCCAACAAAAATAGCTCAGAGTAGTGAGTATTGATGACTAACTATAATTTGTCTAGACTTAGAGGCTTCTTAAAGGGTCACTAAAATCAAATAACAATTTATGTCAGAGTGATAGTTCAATGCATTTATGACATCGTCTAAAATGGCAATATTATCAATGACAGAGCCCTCCTTACCGATAAATCGAGCTAAATGTACCACACGGTGTGCGACAGAAGTGGGACATTACCGAAATGATCCAGATAACGTGAGTGTCTGATTACAATGAATCATCAGCCTGACTACTACTACTGCAGGGCAAAGGACTCTCCCATGATCGGTCAATCAGCCCGATATTGTGCATTCTGTTGCTTTCTATGGGAATCCAGTTAGTTACCTTGACCAATGGTTATCTTTCCTATATGCGCTACGTCCACGGTCCTAGTCCATTTATTATTCTTGATTTCAACTCGAATATTCCCAACCCTGGTATGTTCCCTGACCCAATCTGCTCTCTTCTTGTCACTAAAGGTTACACCAATAAGTTTCTTTTCCATCGCTCGCTGCGTCGTACTCAATTTAAGCTGAACCCCTTTGTAAGCTTGCAGATTTATTCTCCGTATAGGGAAGTGCCGGCAAGATGCAGCAGTTCTATACCCTACTCTTGAGGGTTAGAGGTAGATTACCATTCATGATTTGCGAATGCTTGCCAAATGTGATCCACCCCATCCTTATTCTTCTAGTTATTTCACTCTCATGGTTCGGCTCCGTGTTTACTACCTGTTCTATGTAGACATGTTCCTTTACAACTTCCAGCGTCTCCCCACTTAACGCAAAGCGCTGTTTTCTACCGAGACTGTTGCACATTACTTTAGTTTTTTTTTTGCATATTATTATCAGACCTACCCTTTTGCTTTCCGTGTGAAGTTCAGTAATCATGAGCTGTAATTCGTCCCTTGAGTTAATCATTAAGGCAGTCATCAGCGAATCACAGGTTACTAAAATACTCTCCATTAACTCTCATCCATAACTCTTCCCAATCCCACCCATAGTTCTCCTCTGTACAGTAATTCATGGTAGCATAGGACGTGTCTGTTCTTTAGCACTGTGTAAGCCTCATGTGTCCTATCTCATTTAACAACCTCTAATTTTTCGAATAGCACGGCTAGACTTGCCTCACTAGATAGCATTCTAGCGTTAAATGTAGCCAAGTTGAAATTGCAATGGCGGACTGTCCGAACTCAGAAAATCTTAGCATCCTCCGCTGCGTCACAGATTTGACTGCTGCCTTGAAGTGTTGCATCACAGCCGCTGCGAAGTGAGGGTTGAAGTTTAATTGGTGGGTTCACGTTTGAGACAGTGGTCAAGTACTGCACCTGGGTGGCCAATCCTGCTCTGCTGAGGGAGTGCATTACCGGTCACTGGCGACCACCTGCCGACCCCCAGACCTTCCCCCCCATCGTTTTTAACGGTTCTTCGCGCGTTTCAAGTAAATATACGACAGGGAATGCTCCGGTATCGACATTCAAACCTGATTGATGATTGATTTGTGGGGTTTAACGTCCCAAAACCACAATTTGATTATGAGAGACGCCGTAGTGGAGGACTCCGGAAATTTTGACCACCTGGGGTTCTTTAACGTGCACCCAAATCTGAGTACACGGGCCTACAACATTTCCGCCTCCACCGGAAATGCAGCCGCCACAGCCGGGATTTGATCCCGCGACATGCGGGTCAGCAGTCGAGTACCTTAGCCACTAGACCACCGTGGCGGGGCCGACACTCAAACCTAATTTTGTCATTGTGTGCTAGGCTGATGCGCTATCTCTAGTAGGGCGTCTTGTTACACTTTCTTAGCACTGTACAAAACCACCTGACCACCTATCAGTTCTCAACCTCACATTACTTGCAGCTCGTCTGCTCTTCTACTTACTGTTTGAAACTCCATATTTGTTTTAAAAAACGGCATGGCTTCGGACTTGCGACCTTGCGAGTTTAGCCTCCGGATGACCATCCTTCTCACGCTTTTATTCTCTGCTAACTTCTTCCTGTCTAACTCAATTTTGATATTGTTCCCTCGGAATGCCCGCACTGTCAAGGTTTTGCTGATTTCCAGAGTTTTGCGAACTAATCAGCTACTTAATTCTATGTGATTTGAGTGCATCAAAAGAAAACGCGAAAAATAGACTGGCGCTGCCCTTAAGGCTGTATCGCACTTCGTTGGTGTGTTGAAGTAGTGATTAAAACTCTGATAAATAGATGTGTATTTATTTCCAAGTACTGTTGGCCGCTATGGCCATAACAGGGTGGGTACAGTAAACATAAAACAAAAACAGTACAATGTGTTGTAATGACAGAATTAAAAAAATACACGAAAGAAAAATATAGTAGTAGACAGTGGTCATCAGTCGGGAGCCAGATATACGTACTAGTAATTACATCTACGGCTAGCCTAATGACGCAGAATAGTGGATGAAAAGGTAAGAACAAAATTATTTCTCCTTCTAGAGAGCGCTGAGAGGCAAAAAAAAACCTTCATACGAAAGTAATGACGTGTTTGCATTACTCACCGCATAGCATCACCTTCTTGGGTCTGGGCAAGGCCTGCAGTATTTGTAAATAAAAAATAAATAAAAACTACTACTACTACTACTAACGTTATGGTGTTAAAAAGGTCGTTTCACAGAAGTCAATTGTTAGCGAACATTCGGCATTCCTTCTTGTTTTCAGCGACCTGGGTTGGTGGTGGTTACCTGAACGGCACAGCGGAGGCCGTCTACAAGAACGGACTTCTGCATTGTCACGCCCCTCTGGGCTACGCAGTCAGTCTGGTTTTAGGTGAGCAGCAGTTTTGTACAAACATCAAAGCTGCTTCTATCACGTCCAGAGTGTATTTTTCCCTCTCACCTTACGTTCTCTCAATTTCAAAAGAAGAAATCGGCCAGAACCAGCTATGGTTCTGAATTTATCATCTACGAGTGTGATAACAACTGAATCATTGTACTGACTTTCAAGAAATGTTGGTTTTATTGGATGTATTCACGTGACGACATCCGCAAAGGGTGCTATTGCGGCTGTTCCCATACTTATGCTCTCGCGTGCGAATGTTACTGGCGGGCCACAACCAGCGTTCTCGGCAGCACGTGTTACGTTGATATTTTGCTAAGAAAACTGGTTAGGGAGGTGCAGCGCCTCTAAACGTGAGGGTGTTATTTGCCGGATCGCTGACGGACCACGGCTATAGGGCGTAGAGTTACTGTGCATGCCAACTTTATGCTCCCGTATACGGAGCATACGCAGGTACTCTATATAACTGCACACTCACTGGTGCCGCGCTGCGCAAAGAGCTTAGTGAATACCTTCTGCAGACCTGTGGGCGGCCGACACTAGCTCATGTTTGCGAATACTTGTCACCACTAGTGAACTTGTGATAACACTAGCCGAAATTCAAAAATTAGGGAGCCAATATAAGCCAGCGCTAAGCTCATCTGATTGTGTGATTTCTTAAAGCTAACTACTGTTGAATACAACATAGAAATTTTCTCCTCAAAGGCAGATACACATAATGTGCACAATTAGGTGCTCACTCCAGGCTGACGTCATGAGCCAAACGGCCGCATCATGGTGGCATTCCCAAGTCAACGCCTCCTCTATGTTATCAAGGTCAGCCAGGCGCACCCGATCCAGCCGTTCACCAGCCTATCCTCTAGCCTTTTCCCGCCTTCGCCCATTGCCTAACCTTCACGTGTACTTTGCAGTCATGGAGGAGAAAACCCCACGTGCAGTGTCCTACGACGGAAATCATTAGTATTAATTTTTTGTTCAGTCGTGTACAAATCTGTGGAGCGGCGTCTTGCATTCCCCGTGTTCACAATATTGGCGGTCACGATGGCTCCGTAAAATATACGGTGTTGTGAGATAGCGTGTCGCGCTTCATGGCGCTGTGCGGACAACCAATGGTGAAGCGTCACTGAGCGGCTACGGCATGCGATGCACTGTGAATCGGCAGCGGCATTGCTTCGAGCCACAAAGAAGGAGCGGGAACGAACAAATCTGACAGACGTGTGATATTGGAGTGGGAAACACGTCTATCGCATCTCTGGGGGAAAGTGCTTGGAAGAACGTGTGACACAACCAGCGCTACCTGTCATGTAGCGTCGCGTCTCGACCACTCACTGAACTAAAGCGGACTGACGGCTCCCGTTGAGAAGCGCGCGTTTGCACCGACATTGAAAGAAGCAAACGAGGCGTTGGTCGAGTGCATTGAGTAGGACTACTACTTTAGTCGTGGAGGCGATTGGCTGCCGTGCTTTGATCGCCTGGACGGAGCCTCTCCGTACTTATTGAGAGCATTGTTGCACAGCCAGCCTTGACAGCTGGCCCAACAGGTGACTTTTTGCGTGAAAGGTCATGCAAGAAATGAGATTTTCCGAGACTTTCGGGTTCATTGCTTGAGTCCAGTACTTCTGAACATGGAGAAAAGGAAAAAAATAGGGCGCGTCACGAGGTTCTGCTAGCTTAACAAGCAAGTCCCCTCTGACATAACCATTCTTGACCATTAGGTGGTGCCTTTTGAGTACACGATTAAAACCCTATACATCGATCGGCCTCAGAAGACGCGACCAATCTGAATTTACCAATAGCATTGCTTGCCAGCTACGTACGTGTCCTGGCTTAAAACGTACTTGCGGGCTAGCTCGTAAGTCATTACAGCGTATGGTAGCGCACACCAGGTTACACAACAAACGTGAACACAAAGGGACGCGTTTCAGCGCTTGTGTCGTCCATTTATGTGCGTGTTCGTTGTGCATCCTATAGCGTGAGCTGCCATATGGCTTAATCGAAGTCTATTTCTTCGTTAATTATTTTATGACTATGCTTCAAGATTGTCACGTGACGCTTTTTTTATCAGAGTGCGTCTGTTGGGTCAGCTCACTGAGCAGGTTCGAAAATAAAACAAAAGCAAGAGCAATAAAACGTACAACGTGCCCTGACGTTTTCGTCCCGTGTTTGGCCGACACAATCGGCTTCAATCACGTTACGCAATGCTGGTTCTTTCATCCACAGTTTCTTCACGTATACATATCCAGATTCTCACGTGCATGCGATGGTGTCATAATAATGGTCGGTTCTTCCGAAAATTTCTGCTGGCGCGGCTTATATAGATAGTTGGTTGAAGTTGACGCACGACCGCCCATGTTGTAGCTGCTGTTAAGGCTTGACGACACGTCAACGCGTGTTATGTAGTCCCTGCCGAGAGGGCGCGGCGCCGAGTTCACATGCTACGCGCTGGCGCTCTGTACCGCATACGTGTGGCCAGGTCTTTGGGACTTTCGATGACGTTGGCACACATCGCTTATCGCAGGCGGCACTTTCTTCGCGAGCAAGATGCGCGCGACCAGGCCGATAACGATGCTGGACCCGTTCCAGACACGCTACGGCCGGTGGATGGCGTTGCTGCTCTGCTTCCCCGCAGTTGTCGGGGAAGTCTTCTGGACTGCCGCCGTCTTGGCAGCACTCGGTGCGTGTCACTATAGCCCCTTTAATTTCATGTGCTATGCTCTACATAACCCTCTCTGGCCCTTGAAAATCCAAGTAAGACAACACGTACAGTGCTAACGGAGTAAAATGCTATGTCATCAGTTTCAGTGTAACGACTATAGTATACGCAGTTAATAGTCAAGTACAGTGGTTCCTTCAGATAAAAGTAGCATTATGTTACCCTAAACATAGGAGGTCGAATAAGGTCTTGCTTTGGACGAGCTTTGTTTAGCCCGAGAACCCGGCAGCCAACAATGCGGTGAATCCACAATGATGACGCACATGCATGACAACGACTATGAAACATAACCAACGCAATGTGATATAACGCACCGATGAAGAGTGTGGGTGTAATGAACTCCCACAGTATATGTTTAACGTGACCGCCGCGTCATCCAGTGGCGCTGGAAATGCACAAAACATTTTCGTTTTCTTGATGACGCAGCAGTTTGTGAGAGCACGTGTTTGTGGCGTCACTAGAGGTTGGTCGTGCGACTGGGGATAACAATTGTGACTTTATTCGGTCCAACTGCGCAGTTCATGTTGGTAGTGCACCTTAGAACAGCCTATGATATCTAAATTCAAGGCAACCTGCCGAAGCACGGAGGTGTCTGCTTTTGTGCGTGTGTTCCGCGGTTTCCAAAGTCGACGCTGACTGCATATCAAGTCGGTCGTTTGTTATACACTCAAAAGTTTTGATTCGCGCGCATGATAATTTCTCGTGACGGCGCGCAGTCTGTAGAATTTGATCTGTACAGCCTTCTGTGTAATTTTGACTTGACGAGACGCAATTTTCCTTCCTCCAGGTGACACCGCCCACGCAATCATGGAGGTGGACGTTCGTTTCTTCGTCGTCGCCTCAGCGCTGGTCGTGTTCTTCTACACATCCCTCGGCGGTGTCTACGTGGTCACACACACCGATGTCCTCCAGATTGCCAGTACGGCCATCTGTCTCGTAAGTATACATGGATCGAGTGCCTAAGTGTGCGGGCATAGAGTTTCCCAATATACACACTAGAGGGAACTCTGGCGCTAGTGTCTGTGGGAGCTGCAACGCACGGCGCTTCAGCGAGCATGGGAATGATGGGTAGTACAAACACTGATCTAATCTTCGTACTTTTGGCCTGCTTTGGCTCCATGTGTGTTCGTGTGGCTTGGAGCTGTTTCCTCGCGAAACAAAAATCAGCAAATGTTCAGCGGTTGCGCTTCACCAATTTATCACTTTTAGGCTTACCTTTCCAAATCGGGTCACGAAGTTCAAAAGGGTGATTTTTTTTCAAAACAAAACCGAAACACAGCAATAAACGAAGCCGCAAGTACGATTCGTCGCCCGCAAGTACGAAGACTAGGCAAATCAGTGTACTACCCATCATTCCCGTGGTCTCTGAACGATCGCAGCGACAGAGTCCCCTCGGGTTAATTTTAGGAAACTATATGTGGGCCGCGGGTCCATACAGAACCTATATACGGCGGGGCGGACCTGCGCTTATCAGCGTCTGGCTCACCGTAACAGCGTTCCTGTCATCTTTAGTTGAGCTGCGAGTTTTTAAAGTGGCAATCCTTAGACCTCCTGAAACTCGTGAACTGGCCGCTGCTGGCGCCAGCGTCACGCGGAGTAGGCGTCAGCACAAGTAATGCAAAAAAATGCAAAAAAATTATGCGTCTCGGCATAATTTATGATGTCACGTGACCTGGCGTCCCATGACGTCATACATGGTGACCGGACACGAAAACAATGTGAAATTGGGTCAAGCGAAGAAAGCCTACAATCACTCCGATCCCGGAGGCAACGCAAGAACACGTAAAGTTCACGAAGATTTCGGAGAGGGCGCGCGCGGAAAGGATAAACATATTTACTGAGAAGAAAAGGAGAGGGCTTTTACCTTCAAGTTGTCTTCAACGAATGCATGAGAGACCCTGTTAGCCTTTTTTATGGAAAACTGATCATACTTTAACGCACAGTGAAAGGACACCCGCGCAAAGCTTATCAGTGATCACTGACCATAATAAGTTTAATTTCTTTTTTTCAATCTTTAATCACACTTTGCCGTAAGGTATTTCGTTCGTTCAGTGAAGGGGATATTAACCACAGCATAGCACAATTATCAATATATACAACACACGAATACCTTAAAGAACACCATTAGCACCATTAACACCATTAGGATAATAAACTTCCCTATCAGTTTAATTGACGATATTGCCTGGGAGACGGTTCTATCACTGTACTCTTACAAAGAACGAACCGCTATAACTGTGCATTTTCTATGCTTAATATGGTCTTAAATTCAACTCGTTGATTTGAGGCGTACATCAGGGCTAACTTGAAGATATGCATGGTGTATTATGCTAGGGAATTTCGCCTTAAGTATTGGTAGTTTAAAATGTCACGTTAGACAACGTTGCTTTAGTCGATGTCAACTTGTTATTCAACACCAACGCGTCGCGTATACTGTGTTCAGTCTGGCGTTGTTCAAGGGAGACAGTGAGCAAAGGTTCGAGCAAAGCTTCATAAAGGAGCTCTGCGACACCTTTTTCAACATGACCAGAAAATGCTGCCCAAGGGTAGTGAGGGAGTCAGACAAAATACAGCGCAGAACGTGGCCAGCAGTTTACAATTAATTACACAAGCTCCATGGCCATTGGCTGATTAATGCATCGCGAGCAGCATACTTACCACGGTCGCCGTGGCATGGCGCGACGTGCCTGCATGCTCACTCGCGATAACACGGAAAGCAAGCCGCGCATAGGGGGAGGAGGAGGAAAGAACTTTATTCAGAGTCCGGCGAGTAGATGGGGTGGGCGAATGGCCCCGCCTAGGCTACGACCAGGAGTCCTTGAATCCTGGCGGCTTCCTCGGCCCGCTGGACGGCCCACATTTGGTCTTCGAGAACGGAGCTGAGCATTGCGGCTTTCCAGCGCGCGCGAAGGCTGTCAGCAGATGCCGCTTACTCGTTATGAGCACTAATCCTTCTACATTACCTTAACATATGCTCCAGAGTGGCTCTGGAGTCACAACGCTTGCACCTTTCCGTTTTGTGTATATCAGGATATATAATGTGCGAGAGTGCAGGATTCGGATACGTCCTAGTTTGTAACTGCCGCCATTCGACAGACTGTCTTTTTTGTTAATTTTGGGTGAGGGGGCGGGAATATGCCCCTCTGTAATCTATAATGTTTTGTAATGTCATTGTGCCTGGTCATTCTGTCTTCCCACTCCCACTCGTCTGCCGCGCCGTAATCACCGGAGGAGGCTGGGGCGGCACTTGAGAGGGCAGCTCGGTCGGTGAGCCCTCGAGCTGCGTCATGTACAGCCCCGTTGTTGCTGTCCCCCGCGATGGCATGAGCATGTGTCCATATGATATATGTATTTCTGGGGCTTGTTCGACACCCTCCTTGTAGAATACGTAGTGCCTCCGGGGAGATGCGGCCGTTGGCAAAGTTTCTCACTGCCGTTTGAGAGTCACCGACTATTACGGTTGCGTTTGTCTGAGCTACTGCGAGCGCTATGGCTACCTCTTCCGCTGTCTCGGTACTTGTTGTGCGTATCGTCGCGCATGTCATACAGCGTTTGTTGCTATCTATTACGGCTGCGGTAAACCCCCGTCTGCGCTTCTATCGAGCAGCGTCTACGAAAACTGTGTCCTTGTCACTACCAAAGGTTTTTTTTTTGTATTTGACTTGCTCTTGTCTCTCATCTGGCCTTATTGTGTTCGGTGTGCATGTTTTTTGGCAAGGGGGGTATCATCATTGTTTCCATGGTCTCTCTTGGGATGTCGACTTTGACGCCATGTTGGGTGTGATACGTTATGCCTAGTCGCTCTAGGATATGTCTTCCTGCTCGTGTCTTAGAGAGACGTTCATATTGCGCCGTACGCTGCGCCTCAATGATCTCATCGATGGTATTGTACATGCCTAGCTGGAGCAGTTTGTCGGTGCTTGTGCTAATCAGTTGCCCTATGGCTAGTTCGAATATTTTTCGAATGAGGCAGTCTTTTCTGCGACTTGCCATTTTAAGTACTGCGCTGCGTATACTATTCTGGTTATCACGAATGTCTGTATCAACCTTATCGTGTTTTCCTCCCCCATGCCACTGTGCTTAGTTGCTATCCTTTTTATGAGTCTCATTATTTGGGCTACAGTTGCATCCAGTCGTCTGAGGATTTCTCCATCGTTGCCCTTGGCTTCGATGAGCAGACCTAGTACCCTGATCCTCTCGGCTATGGGTATGGCTTTTTCCATCGGCAGTTCTTAACTGTATTTCTTCTCTATATGAGCGAGATCTTGCAGGCAGCTGCCTGGTTTGCGACCTCTACGAGTAGGTCTGTACAGCAACAGCTCCGATTTTTTCGCAGAGCAGGCTAGCCCAGTACCTTCCAGATACCACTCGACCGTTTCGACTGCTGTTTGAAGCGTTTCTTCTATTTGCCCATCACTCCCACTTCTCACACATAGGGTGATGTCATCTGCATATATTGCATGATTCAGTCCTTCGATTGCTCGGAGTTTGGTTGGCAGTCCAATTAGAGCCAGATTGAATAACATAGGTGATAATACCGAGCCTTGCGGCGTACCTGCACTGCCCATCTCGATTTCCTCTGAAACTAGGTCCCCTATCATGATCTTTGCCTTCCTTCCCGTCAGGAAATTACGCACGTAATTGTACGTTCGTTGTCCCAGATCTAGATCGTTTACCCTTTTTGGAACCGTTGCATGGAAGAAAGAAAAAAGTGCTCAGTATCATCACACCCCTGGCTAACAGACTTAGCTGTTTGTCCACTTGTCACCCCCCCCCTCTTCCCACTTGCGTATCTTTCAGCGCACCTGCTCCATGGTACTATAGTACAATGGTACAAAAAGAGAAAGAAAGCGTTTGAAGCGTGCAACAGATCCATGTAAAGGTCCAACCGCAGGCACGCGATTTTCGAGGGATAGCGACGAGAGATGAGATGTATGCGTGTATGCGTGCATGCAAGTATGCATACATGTATGTATGTATGTATGTATGTATGTATGTATGTATGTATGTAGTATGTATGTATGTATGTATGTATGTATGTATGTATGTATGTATGTATGTATGTATGTATGTATGTATGTATGTATGTATGTATGTATGTATGTATGTATGTATGTATGTATGTATGTATGTATGTATGTATGTATGTATGTATGTATGTATGTATGTATGTATGTATGTATGTATACGTCACCTTCTTAACTTGTTTCGCTCCCAAGGTTCTCCTCCTTCCTCCCTGGTCCCGTGAACTGTTTTAACGAACGTCAACGACACAGAGTCTGCAAAATAAACTTCGGTGTTTAAATAATCGCACGTAATTTGGTAATTCCTTAACTGAACATGGAGACTCCAGTGCACGCGAAAGTGAATCCACAGTACTCAACAAACAGTTCCGACAGTACGTTCGTATACACGCGAGTGAATGACGGCTGTCTTCTCGCGCAGTGGATCTGCGTGCCGTTCTGCCTGCACCACCATGCCGTCGGCTTGATCGGCCCTCCGCACGACGACTGGGTCGGCACGATCGCGAAAGGCGAAGCGAGCCAGCTCTTTGACGCCTTCCTCATGACCGCGCTAGGTGGCATCCCGTGGCAGGTATATCTATCTATCTATCTATCTATCTATCTATCTATCTATCTATCTATCTATCTATCTATCTATCTATCTATCTATCTATCTATCTATCTATCTATCTATCTATCTATCTATCTATCTATCTATCTATCTATCTATCTATCTATCTATCTATCTATCTATCTATCTGTCTGTCTGTCTGTCTGTCTGTCTGTCTGTCTGTCTGTCTGTCTGTCTGTCTGTCTGTCTGTCTGTCTGTCTGTCTGTCTGTCTGTCTGTCTGTCTGTCTGTCTGTCTATCTATCTATCTATCTATCTATCTATCTATCTATCTATCTATCTATCTATCTATCTATCTATCTATCTATCTATCTATCTATCTATCTATCTATCTATCTATCTATCTATCTATCTATCCACCTACGGCATTTAGCTGGCCATTACGATAATGGTATCTATACCAAAACTGGTATGGCATAACATGAGTGTATAACGAGCATAAGTGACTAGTCATAACATGAAAATCATGACACGTATGCCATGAATATCATGATTTACATTTCATGGCCTTCGGGGGTTCCATTCATATGACATATTGCAAAACTGGTATGGTATATGGCATGACTCCATCGCGAACATGAAAATCATTACATGCGTGTCATGTAAGAACATGATATATGCGACGCTCATGATGCGCTCGCGGCCGTTTGGTATTGCGTGACGTGGTATCTGCTGTTGCGTGACGTGGATAGACGACTAAGGTGAATGACACGTCCCAATATTATAATCACGGCACGCGTGTCATGTAAAACATGACTACATGCTACGTTCATGGTGCGGTCGCGGCCGTTTCGCTAGCTTCACATATACCACATTTGGTGTTACGTGACGTGAATGGATGAAGAAGGTAAATGACACGTTCAATCACGATAATCATGACATGGAAGTCATGTAAAACATGAGTAGACGCTACGCTCATAGCACGCTCATGGCCGTTTCGCTATATAGTTCCACATATGCCAAATTCGGTATCACGTGGCGTGAATAGACTACGATGGGAAATGGCGCGTCGAAACATGATAATCATGACATGCGTCTCATCTAAAACATGACTACAAGCTACGCTCATAGCGTGCTCGCGGCCGTTTTGTTAGCTTCACGTATACCAAATTTGGTATTACGTGACGTGAATGGATGACGAACACAAACGCCAGGCTAAAACATGATAATCATCACATGGAAGTCATGTACGGCATCATTTACGTTCGCCTCGTAATGTTGTGCTGCTTTTAAAGTGATATATCAACCTTCCTCATTCGTGCTTCGCGTATCATCGATTTGCACTGTACGTGGGTTCTGTCTTTTTTTTTTTTTTTTGAACTTGAAGTTGTGCGGGGGCCCTTTGAGTGTCCTCACTACGTATATAAATGAAAGCTCGCAAAAAATGATGCCAGGGGAAGTAAAGGGGATGTTATTGGAAGTAATTGTATATTGTAAACGTGAAGAAAGAAAAGTGGACGAAAAGATGACTTGCCACAGGTAGGATCCGAACCTGCGACCTTCGAATAACGCGTCCTATATGCTCTACCACTGATCTTGTCAAAATGGTCGATTGGGCGAGTTGATTCATGATGGTTTGACAGCGTAGTCAGACCCTTCCCCCTAATCCATATTATAGGGTATACATGTGCATTTAAAGTTGAAAGCGTCAGAGGCATCAGTTGTCATTACGGCGAGTGTTCTCATTTTCACTACAATTACGTCTAATAACATCACCTATACATTCCCTGGCATTGTTGCCTGTTAGTTCACATTAATATTGTGTCCTACAGAGAAAACAAGCCCGTACTTGTACTTTCACCGAATACGTACACGTACTATATACGTACAGCCGCGCCCTTTTGCCGCAGGTGTACTTCCAGCGCGTGCTGAGCTGCGAAAGCGACTTCGACGCCCGGATGCTGTCGTATCTGTCCGCGGTGGGATGCATCATGCTCGCCATTCCGCCCGCCGTCATCGGCGCAGCAGCCAAGAGTGCGAGTACGTGCCCGCTTGTTCATCCAACTGAAGAGTGTATTAGTGCCCGGGACCATAGATTTTCCTAATATTGATTGATTGATATGTGGGGTTTAACGTCCCAGAACCACCATATGATTATGAGAAACGCCGTAGTGGAAGGCTCCGGAAATCTTCACCACCTGGGGTTCTTTAACGTGCGCCCAAATCTGAGCACACGGGCCTACAACGTTTCCGCCTCCATCGGAAACGCAGCCGCCGCAGCCGGGATTTGATCCCGCGACCTGCGGGTCAGCAGCCGAGTACCTTAGCCACTAGACCACCGCGGCGGGGCAGTTTCCTAATATACACTATAGAGGGAAATCTGGCGCTAGTGTCTATGGGAGCTGCAACGCACGGCGGTTCAGCGAGCATGAGAATTATGGGTAGTACACGAACTTGTCTAATTTTCGTACTTCTGGCCTGCTTTTGGCTCCGTGTGTGTTCGTGTGCGGCTTGGATCTGTTTTTTCACAAAAACATAAATTAGCAAATGTTCACCATTTGCGCTTCACAACTTCATTCTCTTAGGCTTACCATTTCGAATCGAGTCACCAAGTTCCAAAGGGTTTGTTCGTTCTTTCAAAACAAAACTGAAACGCAGCAATAAATGAAGCCGCAAGTACGATTCGCCACCCGCAAGTGCGAAGACAAGGCAAATGTGTGTACTACCCATCATTCCCATGGTCGCTGAACGATCGCAGCGCCAGAGTGCCCTCTAGTTAATTTTGGGAAACTCTATGCCCGGGACCACAAGCAGAGGCGTAGCCAGGGGGCGGCACACCTGACCCGTGCCGCGGGGACGTCCGTAATCAGCTGTTTCTGACACTGCATGCAATCGGATCTTTTATCGAGGTGGCTCGTCGTTTTCGCGTCGCGTAGTTTCATTTTACCCTGGGTATGATCGCATGACCATCGCTGTAGCCTGTAGCAACTGCATTTTTTGCGCTGCTAAGCACGCCTGTGATGGCCCGATTACCGGAATAGAGGAAGGAACAACTGTTAGTTGGGAGCAGTGTGCTTGATTGGGCTGGATGGTGTATACATAATGTGCACGTGCACGCAACGCCGATTCGTCGCTTCCGAAATGCGCCACCTACATGCCTGGTATATACCTATACTGACTCCGTGGCCGACCGCTGCAGTGTTGTTTCCTCGTGCATGCGCCCGTTCAGTTTTGCCTAACGATGCAAGTTGGAGCAGCTGCTGGTGAGGCAAGTTGGTATAACAGTCCACGAAGTGCGAGCAGAGCTTCAGGGTGTTTTTTTTTTTTTTTTGCCGAAAGTTATTACCTAAAATTGAGAACGCACATTGCGATTTTCCGAAAAGCGCCGGCATGTTTGGCTGGCGCATATTAACAAAAACGACTTGAAGAACCGGTAATATTTGCGTCTTCAGGCGTAACTTCTTTACGGGTGAGTGCTATATCCAAGAACGTACCTGCAAACAAAACTTGTCCGCGACCGCTGCGTGCCCAATCAGCGTGTCAGGGAGGCGGTTAAAATTGTGAAGACGATCGCGGGAATTCGGGCATTGCATTAAAAAAAAACTGTGAAAATGGATGTGAAACGCTATTCGTTCACCCGCGATTTGAAGTATAGCCGATCGGTTCGAGTTGGAGGGTCAGGTTTTTTTAATAATTGGTCGATTGATTGTCTAAAACGATCTCCATCATTTTCAGGGACTCTACTGTACATTAGCGCACGACAACAAAAGTAATATACAAGGTAAAAATGTGTCAAAACATACGCGAAAAAAAAAGTGACCAGCGTCACCGCGGCACGCAAAGTCGCTACCTTGCATAATATATTCCTCGGCTGTTTCCACAAATTCCAATCAAAGACGCTAAACATCATCACTGTTTAAAAGACTCGGAGAGCCGCACTGCTACTTTTGTGGTGTGGGCCACAGCAATATATTAAACTTATTATTAATAATATATCTCCTGTAAACTTGCCTAGCTCTGCCCGATGACTCGTTTTCGATGGGAGCTGTGCGCTTCGCTCATCCAGTTTTAAAATTGCGGCATACGCGGTGGCTAGTATACGTGTCGCACGTTTTGATTTTCTGGTCTTGTACCGAGTGAACAAGCGAAGCCTTCCTGACCCGATGAGCTTGTCAAAGCTTGACAACGAAAAACCGCACAGCTTCTCTTTAAACATCGCGCACAGCAACAGATGACGTGCCCTCAAAACAAACCGCACTGCAGCACGCAAACAGCAGTAGGTACCCAGCGAGGTACTCGGGCATGGTGGAAGATGGCGACAACGGCGGAAGTGACATCACGTGAACAATATTTATAGTGAACGAGTAAGGAAACAGTGCCTAAGATGGTACAAAAATACAGACAGACTTATCGTGTCCGTGTATTTCCGATCCGTCTTTAGTGCTGCTTAATTTAAATTTATTCTTCCTTGGTAGGGAGCATTACTCAATGCTGAAGAAAGAAACAAAGAAAAAAATTAAGACGAAGACCTTCACCAGCCCCATTTTCCCAATAGGGGACGGCTTTATTCTGCATAGAAAACGCTCCGCCCACATCTTTCCAAAAGCTGTCTCCTTTCAGACTTTACGGCCGCCGGCTACCACGGGCCCTACTATCTGCGCAATAAGGACAGCAACCGGGTGCTGCCGAACTCGATCCGCTACCTGACGTCCGGCTTGGTGTCCATCATGGGCCTGATCGGAATCACGGCTGCGATCATGTCGTCGGCGGACTCTTCCATGCTCAGCGCCTCCTCCATGGTCACCAAGAACGTCTATCAGTCCTTCATTCGGCCCATGGTATGCGTGCACATTTCGCAAGCACTCTCAAATTATGACAGGTAGATTGCCACTATCCCTCAAGAGGAAGGTATATATAACAGCTGTATCTTGCCGGTACTTAGCTACGGAGCAGAAACCTAGAGACTTACAAAGAGGGTTCAGCTTAAGTTGAGGACGACGCAGCGAGCGAAGGAAAGGAAAATGGCAGGTGTAACCGTAAAAGCCAAGAAGAGAGCAGAGTGGATTAGGGAACAAACGGGGGTTAAGGATATCATAACTGAAATCAAGAAGAGGAAATGGACTTGGGCCGGGCAGGATAACCGCTAGCGCGTAGACAGGATAACCGCTGGTCGTTAAGGGTAACTAACCGGATTACCAGAGAAGGCAAGCGGGTTAGGGGGAGACAGAAGGTTAGGTGGGTAGATGAGATTAAGAAGTTTGCGGGCATAAATTGGCAGCAGCAAGCACAGGACCGGGTTAACTGGCGGAACATGGGAGAGGCCTTTGTCCTGCAGTGGACGTAGTCAGGCTGCTGCTGCTGCTGCTGCTGCTGCTGCTGCTGCTGCTGCTGCTGCTGCTGCTGCTGCTGCTGCTGCTGCTGCTGCTGATGATGATGATGATGATGATGATGATGATGATTATGATGATGATGCGTGCTGGGCAGAGCATGTGACGCGCGTAGAGACGAGATTCTAAGTCAAGTCAAGCGCTAGAGATGGAGGCAGAAGGTTGGGTGGTCACATGAGATTAAGATGTTTGCGGGGATAACGTGGCCGCAGCAAGCACTGCAGGACCGGGTTGATCGGCCAAGCGTGGGAGAGGCGTTTGCCCTGCAGTGGGCGTTGTCAGGATGATTATAATGATCATGATACATACCGTATACAGAGAAGTTTGAAGCTTCCAAATGTTTTACGCCATGGCATAGAGAGCGAAAAAGAACCATTCCAAGTGGTTGCCCCTCCAAAAATCAACAAGGTGCCCCCCCTTCCCCACAATAACATATATCGCTAGGCCTCTGGGTGGCACAATGGGCCCGTGCCCGCCCGCGCCGATTTTTTTTTTTTTTTTTGCCATGGCATATATAAGCCACTCTGACACTCGACCACATCTGTCTGCCAGCTCTCTCCAATTCAGGGTGGTGCACCCTCAGAAAAGGGTTTCTGGCAACACCCCTGGTATGTGTGTTTGTAATTGCGCTGTAGAAATTGTGGCAACCGACTAGCCCGCACAACCTCTTTTTTATTTTTTTTATTTTTTTATTTATTCAATACTGCCAGCCACCCTTTGGCAGCCAGGGCAGGAGTGGTACAGTGCAGAGTTTAAACACAAAGTTTACACGCGACCAGTAACACGGTCCGCGGTACACAGGGAAGCAATAATACAGTAAGCTTACAGATTGTCGCGACACACAAGCGCACGCAATCAGTAACACGGCCCACGATTCGCAAAGCAGCAGTAATTCTCGTTCAAATAGCTACATGAATATACAATAAAACCGGCAATGCTAGTCTAATGCAAGCACACACAAAGTACACTACGCGCATTGACCAGGAAGCGTGAAAAAAAAACAAAAAAGACATGCAGTGTGCGTTGTGGCATGGTAGCAAGATAACACGTGAAATATGTTAGTTCAATAGGACAGGGGAACAAGACCAGCACTTCCAATCATACACAATTTTGAATAGCCGTTGAAAAAGCATTTTGATTAGTTAAGTTAGTAACGTCGCGTGGCAAAGTGTTCCATTCTGCTATCGTTCTCGGGAAAAAGGATAGACGGTAAGCGTTTGTTCTCGTGAAAGGCATTAGGATTGTTTTGTTGTGCTTGTTCCGGGTGGGGCGTGACATGTTGAATTCAAGATAAGTATTGAAGTCTAGCTTTGAATAACCATTGACTATACTGTGTAATATTTTAAGTCGATGTAATTTACGGCGGGACTCTAGTGTTGGTAGGTCAGAACGCCTGCGCAGTTCTGTCACGGATACACGCCTGCTGTATGCGTTGTGAATAAATCGCAGCGCTTTCTTTTGTACCCGTTCGAGCATCGCTGAATCCGTCTTTGTGTGTGGGTCCCAAACAACGTCTGCATATTCGAGCAAGGGGCGGACCAGCGTAGTGTACGCAACGGTCTTCGTTCTGCTTGTACAGTGCTGAAGTCGGTGTCTTAGAAGCCAAAGTCTGCGCAGTGCTGATGATGTAATATTTTGTATGTGTTTGTTCCAGGTGAGGTTTGATGTCATGGTTACACCCAAATATTTGAACTCGTTAACAACCTCTAATTCAACATTGTTAATTTGATAAGCATATTGAAATGGAAACTTTTTGTGCGTTATTGTCATTTGGCGGCACTTTGTTGTGTTGAGGCTCATGTTCCAATCGGCACACCAATTACTTACAGCTGTTAAGTATTTGTTGAGAACTTTCTGGTCATTTGCCGATTCAATAGGGAGATAAACAACGCAGTCATCGGCAAAGAAACGGAAACGCACCGGACAGTCGAACTGTAAATCGTTTAAATAGATAATGAAAAGCAACGGACCTAAGACGGAGCCCTGTGGGACTCCAGAAACAACCGATGACAAGTGAGAGGCAGAGTCACCTATCTGAACGTACTGATACCGGCTTGATAAGTAGGAGTCCAACCACTGAGTTATTTTCTCATTTTTGACCAAGTTTCGAATTTTTAACATCAGGTTGCTATGGGGTACTCGATCGAAAGCTTTTTCGAAATCCAAGAATATAGCGTCAATTTGCCCCCCCCCCCTTATCTAAAACTTTTGAGATGTCGTTGGTTGTGTGTATTAGTTGTGTAACCGTGGAAAATCCACGCCGAAAACCATGTTGATTGCTCGTAAAAAACATGTTGCTCTCAAGATACGTTACTAGGTGTTTAAATATAAAGTGCTCCAAAACTTTACCGGCTGTACACAAAAGGGATATGGGGCGGTAGTTTTTTACAGAAAGTTTATCGCCGGATTTATGCACCGGAGTAACTTTTGCAGTTTTCCAATCGTCTGGAACCACACCACTTAGTAGACTTTCGTTAAATATAATGTAAAGGTATTTCGAGCACCACTCCGCATACCGGTAAAGGAACGCATTTGGTATTCTGTCGGGACCTGCGGACTTTTTAGGGTCAAGGTTGAGCAAAGCCGAAAATATTCCCGGCTCGGTAATAGTTATATCGGGAATGTCAAAGCCAGGAATATTGAAATTAGTGCAGCACTGGGTTGCACGTACAAATACAGACGAGAAAAAAGCATTAAAAGCCCTTGCTATCGAGCAGGCATCGGACACTTCCCTGTCGTTTATTTTAATTTTGCCGACTGGGTCTTTCTTTAGGGTGATGTGAGTCCAGAACTTCTTAGGGTTGGTGACAAGAAAGCCGTGCATGCTTGCTTCGCAGGCTTCCGACGTCGAGGTGTCCCTGGTCTTGCGAATCATGGTATTCGCCATCGGGTCTTGGGCCACCTATTTGGCGCTGTCCGTGGAGTCCGTGTTTGAGCTGTGGCTTCTCTGCTCGGACTTAATCTACGTGCTGCTCTTTCCGCAGCTCATATGCGTCCTCTACTTCGAAAAGAGCAACACGTACGGCTCCTTGCTAGGTGAGTCCAGGTTCATATGACAAAAGCCATCATCGCTGACAAAAGGTATCAGTAGCGAAGTATCGAATTTGGTAGCGCTCAGCCTTCACGATGCGTTTTTCCCACCTTTAAAATGAGCGGAGGTCGACTATAACGCAATCGGAATAAAAAATCCGGCTGCGTCCCTCTCATTTTGACAATAGACTAGTGACCTGTACGATTTTTTTTTTTTGCTTCGAGTCAAGTATCCCTAGTTGGACCGACTTCTTTGTTTTGTGTAGTTGTGGGGGCATCGTTGGCAAGCCTGCATCGGCGACCGCATGCTGAAATCCTCGACTATTTGAGGGCATCATACAGCGCTCCCAATAATCACCCCCTCCAGTCATCCCTTTAGTTTCGACCATCGTCATCTTCGTTTATTTCATTTTGCTTATTTATTTATACCCCTGTCACACGTGCCACCTTAAGTGCACTTCGAGCGAGTACTGTTAGCCGCGAATGTTATTTGCGTGCTGTCACACGAGCAAGTTTAATTTCACTCGCTGCAAAGTATACTTGCCGGCAAGTGCGTTCCCCAACCTCACTTCACTGCATGCGACGGCTGCGATGAAGTGTGCAGCCTCGGTACCAGTGTCTTGTACAGAAAGACGCTGTTGCCGAAAGCGGCGCTCGTACTGTATCTGAACCATTGTTTTTGTTATGATGGATGCTGTTATGTATAAAACAAGTCATAAAATACGACAATAACCTCGCTACTTCACCGTCAGGCTGTTTACGGCCACGTCCGCTAGGGGAATGCGGCAGCACATGCACAGCAATGGCTGCGTCCGTCGCGTTGTTCACCTTAAGATGTGAAATTTAAGCACACTTTGTCCCTGAGACCATTTGAATGACTGCTATGTTGCCTTTTAGGGGCGAAGCTCCTTAGGGCGTGGGCTGTGCGTCCCCTGTATGTAGCCCCCTCTAGTTTAGTTCTTGCAGTGTTCACAAGATGGCGGTACCGTCCCCTGTATGTAACCACCTCTAGTTTAGTTCTTACAGTGTTCACTAGATGGCGGTACCGTCTCCTGTATGTAGCCACCTCTCGTTTAGTTCTTGTAGTGTTTACTAGATGGTGGTACTTGTAGCTGATGATGAAAAGATGCAAGATGTTATAAACTAGAAAGCGGTACTTGTAGTTGATGAAAGACGCGAGATCTTATAAAATAGGAATGATGTCACATATGGCGCGTGTCATTGGTTGAAGGCAATCGTTCGATTTAGTGCGGCGACGTACGCTAGGGGGAGCGATGTAATAAAATCGAGTGGGCAAAATGTACAGAGGATTCATGGTTTACCAGGTTTACCTCCGGAGCTTCGCCCACTCATCATCATTCACTTCGTGGATATGGCGGCACTTTTTTTGTTACTCTTTCATCATCGTCATTGCTAAGAGTGTCAGGCGGAGAGGTCACGGCGGCGCAACTGTTGCTATGCGCCAGTGTGTCATCACGTGATTGCTGAGAGAGTGAGAGGCCACAACTGGCACTGTTCCAGAACACGGACGAACGGACACGATCTTTTGAAGACGAAGCTTAAGAGTTTCCCAATTTTTTCTAGAAGCGCAGTATTCCGGATTACAGCTCCGGAGAATATTATACAGTGTTGTGCCGCAAACATTGCCGCAGGAAAAAAACCGTGTGCCTTCAGTAGCCCGAACTTGTCGCAATTGATGATGTTCCCAGATGTTGCCCGGTACGGCATGCTTTCATGGCAATCACGTTCATTTTTTTTGTTTCTTTTACAAGAGCGTAATATTAATTCGCTTTCCATAAACATTTGATGCAGCGTTCTCCGTCGGCGTGGTCTTCCGCTGGATGTGCGGCGAGCCGATCATGAACGTGCCGGTGACGCTCAGGCTGCCGCTGTACGACGAAGAGCACGGCCAGGTGTTCCCCTTTCGGCTCACCTGCATGCTGATCGGTCTCATCACGCAACTTTTGGGCTCGTACTGCGCGTTCCTGGCTTTCCGCAGCGGCTGGATACCACAGCGGCTCGACGTCTTCCACTGCTTCGCCGCGGCCAAGTCCAAGCCGACCGACCAGAGCTGCACGCACGTGCCGCCGCACCACGAGTTGAGCGGCAGGAACGACGCGAGCCCGAATGAGACCGCTCCCCGAGGCCACAAGACCAGCGCCGTCAACGCTTCGTCCAAGCCGAGGAAGACCAGCTCCAGCGACGCTTCGTCGAATGCCACGAGAACCAGCGCCGAGGCTAAGAAGTCCCGGAAGACCATCGGCGAGGGCGGTTCTTCGAAGCTCAGCCGGAAAGAAAGCACGCAATCTCAGAAAGACACCGATACGGAAGACGCGACGCGACGAGCGCCTGAACCGACGACCGCAAAGTCGGACCTTCCGGCCAACACCAAGAAATCGGAGAGCAAACTGGAAGCGAGACGTTCGAGCGATTCGTCTAAGGCGTCTTTAAAGAAACAGAATCGTTCCATAAGCCGGGTCCAGATCGACTGGGGCGCCGAACGTCGTCCCTAAGAGCGACGGCGAACAGCCCAAAGAAAAGTGAACGTCATAAAGAAAAACTATAGGGCTGACGAGCAGAAAGTCAATGAGACTTGCTCTGACAAGTCCTTTTCATAGATAGTCACGCAATTCGTTTTTATCCTTCAAGGTGCTTCTGCAACATCCTGCAGCTCAATTGTGCGGACACCCTTCTTTCAGGGTGTAAATAAAATACCCATAGATGGCGCCCTGTCTACACTCTTAATGTGCCATCTCTGCGAATAGCCCACTTACGCTGTTTTGAGGGTGAAAACAGGGGTCGTAGCCATGGGGTGGCACACAGAACACGTGCCTCCCCCCCCCCCCCCATTTTCTTTTTGCTATGGAATATAGAGAAAGGCAATTTTAAGGGGGTCAGTATCCATATTGTGTATTATACTTATTCTACCTGTACGTACTCATATTTAGCAATGCACATTTCCATCAAATGTAGAATTTCAATTTAGATGTACTACATCGATCAGAATTGCTGCTTTGTTTACTACGAGTAAAAAAAATATTACATAAGTACACCTTGTAGCGGTGCTGAGAATGCGAGAGCAAATAAATGCGCGCCCTCATTTTTGTGCTTTTGGTTGAAATTGCAGTCAAAGGCGAAGACTAAGGACAAGGCTCAAAACATGTTTTATTGGCTTTTCAAGCAAATATGTGCTTGAAACGTTGAGCTTACGGTCAAGAAAACGTCAACATCGGCAACTACAGTCAATGCAGTATTTGTTCATATCGTTACGACATCAAAGCAGTGGTCAACGCAAATATTGATATAACACAAGCAGGTTGGTCTCTTTAATAGAAAGCGTAATCGAGTTCCTTGTCATTTCTATTGTCCTACATAGCATATGCATAATTGTAATGTCTTTCTTGGTTTCTTGCCGCAAACACGTGGCAATATTTAACCCTTTCAAACCTGAAATTTTATTTTTGTCAGAGATATATTAAGCATTTTCGTTGTATAGTTAGGCTCTCAGAAAACCACAAACAAATTCAGTCGGTGAAAGTATTCATGGATTTACAGACATGACATCAAATTAGGTTAACATGACCCTGTTGTCATGAAAAGACAATAATGGCTCATTTATTCTTGCTACACTTTAGAGAACACAAAATTTGAAAGAACGTACTAGTTGGCAATGTGGAGGCTCTTAAGACAACTTCAGGACTCGATCCTGAGAAGGCCGCCTTGTTGCCTATGCTTGCCCGCATCGTTCCCGATGACCTCAGTCGAGCTGCTGCTGCTTTACGGCTCCAAGCTCCGCAAAAAATCAAACGGTGATGTCGATCGCAGTGTGAAGAAATGCTTCTCCAAGAATGAACAGACTTGGTTTTGTTCTCGGGGTTCAAGGTGAAATTTTCTGTACCAGGGCCGAAAATGTTTGAATGCTGAATGACTTCCATGGTTTCAGACAATGAACGTAATTCACAAAGCCTCGGGGAAGCAACAGTCGATGTACAAGCAGCCGACAATAGTTACACTGGGCAAAGATGCACGGAAATAAATTCTGTAAGATTGAATGGTGCGAAGACCTTGCCTTTTGCATAGTTTAGGTATTGTGGTCGTGTTTGTAGCTCACGAGCAGTTCTGTAGCTCGGGCCGACCTCTTTGCCTTTCGGTAAACCAAATTTCTCTACCTGTGTATAAAAAAAAAAACTACACATTATGAGCAGGACGGTGCTTCAAAGTGGATGCTTGTGCACGCCGAACGTTTCTAGACTAGGTAAGTTGCAAAACTCCCCCGCGTCAGACTACTCGTCACACGGCGCCGGGACAGCTTCCGGTTTGGTGGCACTGGCGGCGCAACAAGCTTCCGCTAGCAGACGAAAACGCGTGGTCGTCGTGGCAAGACGCCGTGGCGGCCGTTCTGAAAGAACTTTGCCAACAGTATATTATCGAGATTTGTTGTGCTGCCGCAGAAACTTAATACTGCGTAATACTTAGTGGTGTAAGGCAAATACAGTATAATTATGGTTTTCTAAACTGCCCACAATAAACAGTGCTTGATAATATATATAGCATAACATACGAGTCTGTCTGTTAGTTGCTAGTTGGTGTACGTTCGCCATAGATTTTTAGACGCGAAAAACCCCAATTACAATGTCTGGCATCCTCTTTTGTGGCTGTTGTTTTTTCGGGCTTGAAAATAAATTACAAACTATGTGGCGCAATCTTGTGGCGTTTTGTCTGGTAAGTAGTCAGCTTTTTTTTTTTTCATGTCAGTCACATTTTTAGCAACAGACCATCGAAAAGCGCGTGCGGCCATTTTCTTGAGCATGTCTTCCCTCTGCTTCTCCTGGAGTTCCTCTAATGAAACCTGTTAACACCAGCTGCAGCCAAAGCTTAGCGCAGAGACCGCACTTGGGGTATCGGTGAGCACTTCGTAGTCATTACTCACGAGTCTGCACCGCGACGCATTGGGACAAAGAACACACTTGCAGCTTTTCTATGTTCTCAGAAGTTCTGCCCATTGGATGATGGTATCTGCTTTGCCAGGCGACTTGGCTAAGCGATAGCGACGGCTGCTAATGGTGATTGTCATGTCTTCTGCGACGACAACGCATTTCTCCACAAATAGCGCTCTTTTTTTTATTTGAGCCCTAGAAACCACACAAGACGTTTTGTCTCGCCATTCTCAACAACGTTCCGCCAGAATGCAAAAAAAAAAACGTTTTCTATGTCTTGAAGCGAAATGACACCACTAGTTGACGGCATGTCGTGACTTATTTCACTGTCTTCGAGCTAAGTGCTCGGAGATAGTCTATTCATTTTCGCCGATGATATTCTGGAAAATACCCCACTCCTATCGGGCAGCTTTCGCTTCTTTGTCTTTGTCGCGGACCCCGCGATAAAGGTAAGCGGGCAAATTCGGGAATATTCGTGGAACGCATCCTTCGACGAGGTCCCATTTTCCTCTTGCGATTTGTACCTTCTTACCATATGACGTGAGAATGTCAAGAAGCGGCCTTTGTGTTCCTAGGCGAGGTATAAACGCCCACACCTTTCCGGTTTATGTTCGTTGTGCGCTCCTGTATATTCGCGATGGGGTTCTCAGAAGAAGATGACACGAATTAAACATGCTTGAGGTTAGCACCTTGCATACACAAAACAAGCGCTTCAAATAATCACATACGAAGATTTTTCTAGCACATATTCGTTGAATGGATGGCCCAACAATTGGAAAATCAACCCACAGTTCAAAGTCAAATAAGAGTTTCAGCCATTTCCAATTCGGATGTCAACTGAAAGTAGCGATCACTCTGGGGTCTGGGTGTCATGCTGCAACGATGAGTGGCAAACTGTGGGTGCTTCACGAAAAAAGTCATCACAATTTGCCGCTTAAACTGGTGTGTGGACGCAATCGTTATGTGAGAAAATAGAAAATCTTATTTGCAGGAAGGAAAGTTTTGGAGCAATTTCTGTGGGTGAGGAAACAGCAACACGGCAATAAAATTGAGCCAAAGCCAAATATGTGCTTCGAACGCTCCCACACAATTAAATTTTTACAAGAAATCGGTGCAGTGGTTGATATAACGACCTCGAGATAGACTATTCGGAGATCAAACCTCGGGACAAAGCCAGATGAGCATATATCAATGAGACACGACAAATTCTTTGAAAATATAAGTTCAATGAATTGAATGCCTGGTTCTAACCTCACGACGAAGCCAAACAGGCTTTTACCGATTCGACACGATGAATCCCGAACAAATAAGTGTAATGAATGAAAGGCCCGGGTTCTGACCTCGAGACAAAGCCAAACGAGCTTCTACCAATTTGAAACGATTAATTCAGTACAAATAGGTGCGATAAATGAAAAGCCCGCGTTCTAACCTCGAGACGAAGCCAAACAGGCTTTTACCGATTCGACACGATGAATCCCGAACAAATAAGTGTAATGAATGAAAGGCCCGGGTTCTGACCTCGAGACAAAGCCAAACGAGCTTCTACCAATTTGAAACGATTAATTCAGTACAAATAGGTGCGATAAATGAAAAGCCCGCGTTCTAACCTCGAGACGAAGCCAAACAGGCTTTTACCGATTCGACACGATGAATCCCGAACAAATAAGTGTAATGAATGAAAGGCCCGGGTTCTGACCTCGAGACAAAGCCAAACGAGCTTCTACCAATTTGAAAGAACGTACTAGTTGGCAATGTGGAGGCTCTTAAGACAACTTCAGGACTCGATCCTGAGAAGGCCGCCTTGTTGCCTTGCTTGCCCGCATCATTCCCGATGAGCTCAGTCGAGCTGCTGCTGCTTTACGGCTCCGAGCTCCACAAAAATCAAACGGTGATGTCGATCGCAGTGTGAAGAAATGCTTCTCCAAGAATGAACAGACTTGGTTTTGTTCTCGGGTTTCACAGTGAAGTTCTGTATACCAGGGCCGAAAGGGTTTGAATGCTGAACGACTTCCATGGTTTATTTGAGACAATGAACGTATTTCACAAAGCCTCGGGGGAGCAACAGTCGATGTACAAGCAGCCGACAATAGCTACACTGCGTAAAGATGCACGCTGTCCCGCTTCGACAAAACATGCAGATTTATGCCAGACGGGTCGTAGCACTTTTGATAGAAATAAATTCTGCAAGATTCAATGGTGCGAAGACCTTGCCTTTTGCATAGTTTATGTATTGTGGTCGTGTTTGTAGCTCACGAGCAGTTCTGCAGCTCAGGCCGACCTCTTTGCCTTTCGGTAAACAAATTTCTCTATCTGTGTATAAAAAAAACTACACATTACGAGCAGGACGGTGCTTCAAAGTGGATGCTTGTGCACGCCTAAGTGCAATGGTTCAGGTTCCGAGCTTGGTGCGCTTACACCACGAAGCAATAAACTTTAATGAGAATGTCAAGAAGCGGCCTTTGTGTTCCTAGGCGAGGGTATAAACGCCCACACCTTTCCGGTTTATGTTCGTTGTGCGCTCCTGTATATTCGCGATGGGGCTCTCAGAAGGAGATGACACGAATTAAACATGCTTGAGGTTAGCACCTTGCATACACAAAACAAGCGCTTCAAATAATCACATACGAAGATTTTTCTAGCACATATTCGTTGAATGGATGGCCCAACAATTGGAAAATCAACCCACAGTTCAAAGTCAAATAAGAGTTTCAGCCATTTCCAATTCGGATGTCAACTGAAAGTAGCGATCACTCTGGGTCTGGGTGTCATGCTGCAACGATGAATGGCAA